TGGGTTAATGGGGCAGAAGAGATCGGTGAAGGGCGACAGAAGTGGTCTTTGAAAGAGGGTGTGAGCACAGGGCAGACAGACAAAGGCCAAAACACACACGGGCGGAGAGGGACAGATGGGACCGGCGAGCGAAAACAATTAGGCCTCGAGTGCGGGGGCGGGGCGCAGCTTCATCGTTTCCCAGTTAACCAGGCCCGGCACAAGCCCCTTGCCCGGGGCTGCAACCTGGGCCGCCGCTAGTGAGAGGCAGGCGGTCTCGGCGGCTGGCGCAGGAGCCTCCGCACCCCTCCCTCCTAGTCCGGAGCTGCTCCCCTGCTCCCCAGGGGCGGGGGGCTCTGTGCCACTTCCCCTTGCGCCTGGGAGGATGGTGGATGCGTGGGTGGTGGGTGGGTGGATGGTGGATGTATAGGTGGATAGATGGGTGAAGGGTTAGGTGGATGAGTGAGTGGCTGATGGATGGATGAGTTCCCCTGCCCACAAATAGCAGAAGAGGAAAATCCTGATCGGTGGGCCAGGCGACCCCAAATTCCCTGCAAGAGAGTTTGGAAATGTTTCCCCAGGCAACACAGCCCCTCCTGCCGTCTGACACCGCCGGCCTCCTCTGGCGGGGGTGTCCACTTTCGAATCCCCCCAGATGGCTGCCGGTATCCAGACCTGCCCAGGACCACAGCCCGCGCGCGTCCGAGAGGGATCCCCGCCAGGCGGCGCTGCTTCCCTCTAGCCCGCCAGGCCGCGCGCTGCAGACCGATGCTGTTTAATTAACGTGCAAATTGAGTAGATTAAATGACTCTAAATAATTAGCCACAGATCCTATAAACAGGATAACATATTTAATTAAGCAGCGATATAGATTTTGGAAACTGTTAATGTATTTTTAGAATGGCTGCTTAGATCTTTCGCTTTCCTCCCTAACTTCAAACATGTAACTACAGCCCTCAGTACGTGGATAAATATCTGGAAACAAGATTATGCCTGTTAACTTCAACTAATAGAAATGATGGTCTAACAGGAACTTGGGTAGCCCCAGCGCTGGCGGCTGGGAGCCCAGATTCCGGAGCTGGGCCGGGTGTGCTGAGCTTTGTTGTGAATGTGCTTATGTGTGTGTGTATTCGTGGGCCGGCCCTTGGCAGAGGGGTAAAATGGTGCAGGATGAGGGGGGACAGAAGAAGGTAAGTGAAAAATACGATCCAATTTCATTATATCAATCACATTTAATTGGCAATTTGTACGAGCAATGACCGGGCTGGCTTTAGGTAAAACTATTAGGCGACAGGCGGGTGTGCTACTAAAATTCTTGGTTAGTTAATTAGTGTCTGAACTGCGGAGGGAAAGGATCCTCAGATTTACTCTCTACAAAGAGAGAGCAGCCCAGACAATTCATTAGGCAGGCGGCTTGTAAATTAGAGCTAAGTTAACCTGATTTCCCTTAATTAAAACATCTTTTCTCGTTTACGATGTGGATATAAGTAGATCTCCAGGGTTTTGAATTTTCTGCAACAGCAGATGGTCAGCTAGAAGCAGATAATAGTTAACGCTTTCTCTCTACCAGATCCGAACAACGTGAGCCGCTGGCCCATCTGAGGATTAAAAGGAGAGATAACAAAGAGTGTTAACCCTTCCCAGTCCTCCTGGCTTCTGAGGCTCTGAGGGAGAGTTGGCCCCAGACCTGGGGGCCCATGGGGCACCATTGTCAGGACTCAGGTGGCACCATGGAACCCTGGGCCTCTGTGGCAGTGGGAGAGGGACCTGGGGTGATGGGGAGGTGACCACAGGCTGTCTCATGGGGAAGAAGAGTGTTGGGACCAGGAGACTGATTGCCAAGGTGCCTAGTGGACAGGACAGAGAGGTAGCCACCTCTGGACTTCACTTCCACAGATAGGGCTTCTCAGTGCCTGGCCACAGCTGTCCATCCATCCCTCTGTCCACCACAGCCTGCATCCCTGCACTTTGCTCCTTTCTGTTCCGGTACCACCTTAGTACTGGAGGTCGGCTGGTCGCCACAACCTGTGCACTCT